CCCAGGGACAGGCCCGGCCCCGCAGGAGCCCGTGCCCACCGGCCTGGACGGACCCAGACGACGAACAGATGTCAACCTCCTGCTGACTGTGGCCCCGTACGAATCGGTAGTAAATTCATCAGTCAGAGCAACCGCAGTTTAGTTCCCGTTCTTGCCGGCTGCACAGCAACTAGCCAGTCAGGGCAACGTTAACCTACACCAGGATAACGGGAGGTAAAACTGCATCCTCACAGGCATTTCAGATGATGTTAATTTAAAAAGAGATCAAATGCAACATTTTTGGTCATTGTAGTATTTCATTCAGGTAAAAATTAGAGGGGGTGCAAAAGGTACATGCAGAGCAGGTGGAATGATCCACAGGGTTCACAAACCAGAATACACTTGAGGAAAATACTGCCCACTGGGGTTTTTTATTCCCTCTTAAACAATTTCTAATAGAAAAGGATCGTATACAAGAATACTCCTGTACAGAAATCCTTTATATCTGCCAAACAATCTTCCTGGACATTCCAAAGTGTCTCCTAATAAACACGGGAACATAAATCACCTTCTGCATCTATCAAAACTCTCACTATGGAAAAAGTGACATTAGAAATTTAATGCTGGAAATGAGATGTTTACTGTTCTTGGAGGGTTAGTCTTTAATTCTCCACGTGGAAAGACAGATTTATAGAAAATTGTCATTAAAAATACCACAGTATTGATAAATTCCTACAACACTGCAACTCTAATTTCACTCAATATAGGATTCTGCAATAACTCCGTAACATCTGGCACTAGACTTACCTGCGACGTAACATTAAAAACCTGTCTACATGGTTGGGTTTGGTTTAGTTTTGAGGCAGACCTCAGCTCACTCTTCCTGAAGTCCAAAGTGGTGGGAGGCCAAAGAGCTTTGATCTGAAAGTTTTGTGTTCTGTGCACGGCCCTCAGATCAGAGCTAGCCAGCATCCACATACCTCAGAGCACTGGTAAAGCTGGAACAGGTCTACCCATAAAAAAAAATAAAAATCAGTCAGACACGCCCGTCCTTCAAAACTGCAGAGGTGACAGAAAGGGTCACGCACTCCAACGTCCACCCCCGAACCAAGGTGAAGTGTGCTCCTTATAGGAGTTACTGCCGGCAGCCCTGCTGCCTCTCTGCCCCGGGCAGATGTTAACCCAGCCACACCCCCGGGGCAGCTCTTGGGAGCTAAACCTCCGCCTGCACCGCAGAGCGAAACCTGTACCTACCATTCTCTATGTAGTTTTTTGAATAACATCTTATCCCTTCTACCAAATAAAATAATTGCAACCCGGATTATGTTCTCTAGCTACTGACAATGTGGATTTAAGTGCCATCTGCACAGCTGGAATTATTAACTAAATATCCTAAGAAATAACAAACAGGAGAGGAAATAAACTATCACAAGGGAATACACATCAAATACTTCATTGTTAAGCATCTGTGTGCTGCACTTGCTAAGACGGAGCAGCAATGCAAGCATGTGCCACCGACATGAAATTTCAGAAAAATGCAGAGAAAACCACCCACACATTTTTAAAGATAAAACAAACATACAAGGAAACACCTGAAAGAACAAATCAAACCCCATTCTTGTAGGGTAGTTTCATAACAGTCTCTGAAGTCAAGATTTGGAGATAAGGTTATTTTGTGACCTAAGCTTCACAGTCAGGCAGATCTTCTCTCCCCACCTCAAAAGATTCTTTGCTGATTGACAATAGTTCACGCAGCTCTTTGTTTTCAAGCTGCAAAATCAATATTTTTGCTGAAATTGAAATGAGCTAATTCACAATTAAAGGACGATAATCTCTAAATAGCCCCACTCCTCCACAGCGAAATAAAACATTAATTTTGTAACACAGGCATTGATACAGTGCTAGCAAGAGAACCACATAGTTTAAAGCTCATCTTTTGCTTCTGGCTTCATATATATAATACAAACATCAAGAACTCAAAAATAAACAGATAATGTTCTGCATTTCCTGACCCCGCCCCCCGAATTTTTGATCATTAAAAATCCTTGACACATACAAATATAGAAAAGGCCAGAGTAGTTCTAGAGACTCCCAAAGCTTGATCTATCCTTAGCAATTTTATCTGTTCTTACCTCCAACTGAGCTAGTTTCTCCTGAACTTTAAAGAACTGATCATCATCGACTTGAATAGCTTTTCTCATCACCTCTCCCATCTCACATATTCTGTCTATTTGACTTTCAATTTCCTGAAAGACATAAAATAATATATTCAATATGTTCAGGCAAAAGCAGCAGTAATAATGTATCCCTTCTAAATCCATTATTTTCATTTTCTTGATTTTTGATTATTTTCCTGTTTTGAATTTTAATCCTTTCCTCCCAAGCACTTTCAATCCTTTCTAACTGGTGTAATATTTAAAGATGGAAACAGGTACCTTACTGTCCATTATCACAAGTCAACACTGAAAACAGTGAATAGAATTACATCAGTCAGCAAGATAAAACACTCTTACTTACCAATACGGAAATAATTTCAAGTGTGACAAGGACTGAGACAACAGATACAGGTTTGTGCGGATATGATTAGTATGCACCAAATTTTAGATTGCTTTACTAGAAAAGTCTGGCTCTGAATTTATAAGAATGGCAAATATAAAAGCAAATGAGACTTCAAGACTAGGTAACAGTGTAAGGTGAACTGCCTCAACTCAGAAGGAAAGCAAGCAAGGAAACTAAAAGACCACCAGAGCCTCCTGAGGCAGTTTTAACAGAATCTGTCTAGATACAGCTCTGATCCTTTGGAAGATGCATTTTGTTGGTCAGAAATACATATAGAACAAATACTGAAAAAAGCTAACATGTAATGTACGACAGTTCCTGTTTGAAGAGCATTTCATTTCAAAATACAGTATTTAGAAAGAAACTCAAATCTGCAAACACAAAAATGTCTGTAATTGCGAAGAATTAGCAAGGTAAGAATCTGGAAGCTTCTGAAGCATTTTAACATAACATAAAAATAAAAGGTTATCACAAAGCACTTTGAGGAATATCAGATACTGTTATAGGGTATAGTTTCTTTTCTCCAAGTGTCAGTAGTTACTCCACTGCCTCTGGAAGACAAATGTATCACCAGAGTAGAGAATTCAGTTTTGAATGCCATTATTCAGAAAATGTGTAAACAAATTAGAGCATCCGGAAGACCTGGAGGAACAAGAAAGACTTAGGTAATCTGGGAAGAAAGAATGAGGGTTTTTTCTAAACAGAAAGATGGTTATAATATAGCTCCTTAAAAGATATTAAAGGGTTGTTACTATTCTCCAAGTGATGGGTAGGAAAAAACATCATGGACTTCATCTGAAGTACAGAAAATTTTGCTTAGCTATTGATACAGTCCAGCTGTATTCCATCAGAAGTTCCTCCAGAGCCTTTTCAGCTTTGCATTTCCACACCACCAAAAAGAGCAAAAGCGGTGCCAGAGAATAACAATGGAAATGTCGTGTTCATTTTGTTCAAACGTTGTATTGATATCAGAGCAACTCATGCACCTAAGCAAGACACTGCCCCGCTACTTAATTTCAGAGGACCTAAGCAACACAAACCAGAGAACTAACGAGTTGTCACATACCAGTGTAAAGACGTATGTGCAGAGCTAGGCTGACTCCAATTCCCATTTAAAAAACCCACAAGGTAAGAGAGGTTGAACAAGCTTGCTATTCTCTAATCACGTAAAAGCACGTTTTAACAAATGCCTAACTTAATATGAAAGCCCTGAATGGAGATTTAATGCGATTACGTTGTTATCAGACACCTAAACGTTAACCAGGCAGAAGTTATCAGTAGCCACACCTTGGGGTTCTGAAGTCACTGCACCCAACATGGACGAAGGGACACTGCACTGAGTATCTGCATTTGAAAACATTTGGGAGTGACGCTTTCTTAAGAATTAAAGAAGTTTAGGAGGTTCTTCTCCAGGTGCTACAATTACTGAACCGGAACAGTAAGAACTCTGATGTCTTTGATCGTGCGCATTAAGCAGGGAATTCACCACCCAGTGCATGAAGAACAAGCCTTCACCTGGGCCAAGAAAGGGTTATGCTTTTTAGTGTCCTCTGTGACAACCGTTACAATCTGTGTGCTCTAAAAGGAATAGTGAAAAAAAATACCAGCAAAGAGAGACAAGAGTTTCACAAAATGTATTTTGGAGGACACACATTCCACGAGTGGAAACAACGGTTGTACAAAAGCAAGCGAGAGACGGGGAATGGGGGTCCTGAGCCCTCTTTGGTTCCCGTCCCAACTTACCACGGAATTCGCCTCATGAACATTCGAGACTGGTTCTGCATCTTCGCCTTTTCTCCCCTGCAACAGCTGTAACATCTGCTTTCTGTATTTGCTCATGATAAGCTCTAACGCATCCTGGTGCTCCTCCAGCGAGATCCACAGCTCTGCAAAACACAGCGCGGCGTCGCAGGTGCCCGGAGGGGCTCGGCGCCCGCCGCTCGCTCGGTTCCTGCCACCGCT